TCTACCACTTGAGCCACAGCGCCACTTCCGGCTTTTTTCTTTTGCTTATGTGGTGCTGAGGAATCGAACCCAGGGCCTCAGGCATGCAAGGCAAGAACTCTACCACTGAGTCACCTTCCCAGCCCTACACCTTGAAAATTATGACTATATTTGCCTACCCTTCCTCTCCCCATTCATCTGAACTTTCTCCACTTGACCTCCCCAATTCCTAATAACATTTGGATTTCCTGGTATTCATTTTTTTTGTTGAACTGTAAGTTAGTTGTTCAAACAAGTCATCGTTTTTCTTTTTTTCTTTTTTTTTTGTCAGTTATAGGGCTTGAAGTTGGGCCTGAGCACCGTCCCTCAGCTCTTCTGCTCAAGGCCACTTGAACCAAATGCCATTTCAGGTTTTCTGATGGTTTATTGGAGATAAAGAGTTTCTCGGCTTTCCCTGCCCAGGCTGGCTTTTAACTGTGATACTCAGATCTTAGCCTCCTGAGTAGGTAGGATTATAAGCACCCGGCCAAACAAGTCATTCTTTCAAACAACTAACTTACAGGAATCCTCCCCTGTATATACCACACTTTCATCATATGTGTGTACATATGCACATGGTACTGTCATGCTATCAACTATTACTTATTTGTTTGTCAGTTGTGGGGTTTGAACTCAGAGCCTGGGCACTGTCCCTGAGTTCTTTTGCTCACTCTACCACTTTAAGCCACACTGCCACTTCTGGTTTTCTGATGGTTAACTGGAGATAAGAGTCTCATGGACTTTCCTGCATAGGCTGACCACAGTCCTCAGATCTTAGCCTCCTGAATAGCTAAGACTATAAGTGTGAGCTTATAAGCTGTAACCAACTTTTAAACACTAACCAACCTAAAAGTCAAACAATTCTACAGTATTCACTTTTATATTTTACAGTCAGTTATATATTAGACATGATAAACTAAGGATATAGAGAACTAAAAATTAGAAATTAGTTCATGGTTTCTTTTTGGAATAGGGTGTGTGTGTGTGTGTGTGTGTGTGTGTGTGTTTGGAATAGGGTGTGTGTGTGTGTGTGTGTGTGTCTGTGTGTGTGTGTGTTCCAAAACTAGATTTTTGGTAATGATTACACAACTTTCTACATTTACCAAAAAGTATGAGGGAATAGAATTACATGATAAAATACTGGGTAAAGAAGTTACTCTAGCCAGGCGTTGGTGGCTCATGCCTGTAATCCTAGCTACTCAGGAAGCTTAGATCTGAGGATCATGGTTCAAAGCCAGCCTGGGCAAGAAAGTCTGTGAAACTATTATCTCCAATAAACCATCGGAAAACCAGAAGTGGTGCTGTGGCTCAAGTGATAAGAACGCTAGCCTTGAGCTGAAGAGCTGAGGGACAGTGCTCAGGCCCAGAGTTCAAGCCCCATGACTGATAGAAAAGAAATTACTCTAAATGGCCATAATTAAGAATACAAACCGTAACAGATGCTGACATAGCTGTGGACAACAAGATACCCTAGTACACTACTGGTGGAAATGTCAACTTACTCAACCACTCTAGAAAGCAGTACGGAGGTTCTTCAAAATACAAAACAGATAACTACCCTAGGATCTAGCAGTTTTCTATTCTTAGGCATTTAATCAAAAGATTACAAATTAGGATATAATAAAGTCATCAGCACAACCATATTCATTGAAACACTATTCAGGGGCTGAGAAAGTGGCTCAGTGGTAGAGCGCTTGCCTTGCATGCCTGAGGCTCTGGGTTCGATTCCTCAGCACCACATAAGCAAAAGAAAAAAGACAGAAGTGGTGCTGTGGCTCAAGTGGTAGAGCGCTAGCCTTGAGCTGAAGAGCTGAGGGACAGTGCCTAGGCCCAGAGTTCAGGTCCCATGACCAGACCCAAAAAACAAAACAAACGAAACACTATTCACCATAGACAAAGTATGGAATGATCCCAGATGCCCTTCAGTTAACAAATGGATCAAGAACATGTGGTAAATATACATAATGGAATTTTACTCATCCGTAAGAAAGAATGATATTGTGTCATCTGCAAAGAAATGGAAGGGCCAATGAAAAAATTAGGTTGAGTGAAGTCAGGCCAAAAGTAACAAAGAATGCATGTTTTCTCTCATATGTGGAAGCAGAATTAAATTTATAAATGTGTAAGTGAACACTTCATTGTGGCATGCAAATGTACACAAATGTATTGGAATACTTAGGGGAGAATTTAAATGGTGTAATTCTTTAGAAAGGCTAATTTACAGTCCAACAAAACACCAAGAACCAAGTAATTAAAAGGTAGGGGGTAAGGCCAAGAGGAGGAGGGTAGATAAATGAAGTGAGTA